TGAATTTCTTTTATTTATCCTTCTTGCTATTAATGGTTTTTCTTAAATCTGCTGTTTGATTCTTTTGCCAGTTTGAAAATTTCTAAACAAAGTATCTTTATATGTTGTTTCTGCTCTATTTTTTTTTAACCTCTTATTGTCTGGTACTCTAACTATACCTACATTTGGTTTTTCACCATACCTACTATGTTTTAGATTCTTTTTCAATGTTCTCTATCCTCTTATCTCTCTCTACTTTGATGTGGAAATTTTATATATATATTTTTTAATTATCTTCTAATACCCCACTCCTCTCTTTAACTATGACTGATTTTAAGTCCAATTATTGACTTAAGTCCAATTTTAAGTAAACTAGATCTGATTTTAAGTCCAATTACTGATATTAAGTCCAATTTTAAGTCCTCAATCTCAGTTAATATAGTATTCATTTCTATAGTTTCCACACACGCTTCATTAACAGCTCTAGTCTCAGCTAAAAATCTTGATCTTGTTTTTAATCGCCTGCATATAAGCATCATATTTGTTTTAAAAATCTATATTTGATAACTTCATTATCTGGATCTTATTAACAGACATCTTATCTGGATCTCTGTTTCTATGGCCCATTGTTTCTCTTCTTCTTTGGTCACACCATTTTTTTATGTGTGCAGGGTTACTTTTAATAGAGCACAGGATAGTGCATATGAGAAACTGCAACACTTTGAGGTTCTGCATGACGTTATCTTCCTCTACAGAGAATTTACTTTTGCTTCTGGCAGGCAACTAATCCTCTAGGAGTACAAGCAATGCTTTATTCTAGTGCTTCCCAACTTTTAGCCTTAGGAATACCATCTTAAAAATTATTAAAGAAAAAAAAAATTCTTGAGGACCCTGAAGAGCTTTTTTTTATGTGGGTTATACCTATCAATATTTACCATATTAGAAATTAAAAGTTTATTATTAATTCATTAAAAGTTAAACCCATTTATATTTACACATTTCATATATTTCTATTAGAACACCTATATTTTCTAGGGTGTCTGGGTGGCTCAGTCAGTTAAGCACTGGACTCTTGGTTTAGGCTCAGGTCGTGATCTCAGGGTTGTGGCATCGAGCCCTGCATCAGGCTCTGCACGCAGTGGAGCGTCTGCTTAAGATTCTCTCTCCCTTTCCCTATGTCCTTCACCTACCCCTTGCATGTGTGAGCATGCTCTCTCTCTCTCTCTCAAATAAATAAATCTTTTCAGTAAGTAAATAAATGAAAAATCTGTATTTCCCAAAATTTAAAAACATTAGTGAAAAGAATGAAATTATAAATCTCTTTTTTAATATCCAGCTTAATAGAATACAGCTGGATTCTTAGCTCTGCTTCTACATTCCAACTGTTGCAATGTGTTATTTAGGTTGAAATATAGGAGGAAAACAAACTCACAAAGGTATATATTGGAAAATAAACTATTTTTATAGCCTTTTTAGATCGCTTAGATAAATTACAGTGATTTCAATCACTGGATCTTTGTTGCTAGACATTCAAAAAGTGGTAGTTTCTTAGTTAAAATTTGTCATCTAAAATCACATCAATGAACTTTTAGTACTCTTTTACATTAAAATCTGCTAGTCTGTGTAGGAATTTAAATGTATTTCTTATTTATGCATGATTGTGCATGATTTATGTTTTGGTCACTAGAAAATCCTGGCTCACTGAGTTATGCATATTTTCCAAATGTGGTACTACATTAAAAAATCACATTTTAATATGGCCACCAATCTCATCAGTAAAGTCAATTATTACGGAGAAATTGTCAAGTTCATGGTGATGGATACAAGTTTTTCAAAATTCTAATTTTTGCTTTAAAAGCTTGAATTTGGGGCACCTGTGGCTCAGTGGGTTAAGCCTCTGCCTTCGGCTCAAGTCATGATCTCAGGGTCCTGGGATCAAGCCCTGCATTGGGCTCTCTGCTTGATGGGGAGCCTGTTTCCCCCTCTTTCTCTGCCTGCCTCTCTGCCTACTTGTAAGCTCTCTCTCTCTCTGTCAAATAAATGAATAAAATGTTTTTTTAAAAAATTTAAAAATAAAAGCTTGAATTTTATTTAAAGATTATTTATTTATTTGTTTTTTATTTGAAAGAGGGAGAGAGAGAACACAAGTGAGAAGGAGAGGCAGAGGGAGAGGGAGAAGCAGGAGCCCAACTCAGGGTCCAATCCTAGGATCCTATGACCTGAGGCAAGCACTTAACTGACTGAGCCACCCAGGCCCCACAAAAGCTTGAATTTTATCTTTGGAAATATATGCTGTCTCTTATTTTTCTTGAAGTAACAGGCTAATTTTGTTCCTTTTCAGAAATGTCTGTCCAAATATCTAACCCTAAATGACCACAATATGTCAGTCACTCTTTTAGATATAAATGATATTCCATAAGAATGGGGGCTGGGGTGCCGGGGTGGCTCAGTGGGTTAAAGCCTCTGCCTTTGGCTCAGGTCACGATCCTGGGATCAAGCCCCACATCAGTCTCTCTGCTCATCAGGGAGCCTGCTTCCCCCCACCCCCCGCCCCTGCCTGCCTCTCTGCCTACTTGTGATCTCTCTCTGTCAAATAAATAAATAAAATCTTAAAAAAAAAAAAAAAAAAGAATGGGGGCTGGTTCAGTTAGCAACTCAAAGATTTACAAAAGTGGTTTTTCTCAAGCTAACCACTTTACTTTGAAGGCAGCAGAAGTACCTTATGTACACTTTCCATTCTGGATATTAAAAATATAAGTATTCATGAGTCAAGATTTGATAAATTAATAATTTACTACTTACTCAATGACATTCTTCAATGAAATTGGCATTTTTTAAATGAGTGTTTAGTGGTAAAGAATACAGTGTATATTTAGTACAGATTGGTGCTACTGCCTTGATTCATACTAAGGCTCCAGCAATTTTACCCATTTCTTTTACACTACAAATGTAAATATTCATGCAGTGAAAGGACAAATACCATTTTAATATTATCACTATAGTTTTGATGTTGTGAATCCCTTGAAAGGTTTTGGATAATTCCAAAGATCTGTGGACCACAGTTTGAGAAACACTACTGATGTGCAGCTGCCAATTGAATGGTCAAGAAAGAATTCTTGAGGCATTTTTGATGCAAAGGGTGCTTTTATTACAGCATGGGGACTGAACTCATGGGCAGAAAGAGCTGCACTGGGATTGTGAGGAGTGACTGATTATATACTTTTTAGTTAATGGGGGCTATGGGTAACCTAAGTCTCTAAGGAATTTGTGCATGTTGAAAGCAAGGTCTCCAGGAGGTGGAAGGGCTAGCTATTGTTAAGATAAGGTCACTTTCAGTCTCTAACAAAACAACAACATTAAAGCAGCCATGAGTTCCTTGAGGAATGTCATGCTCTGCATGTCTTAGAGCATGAGACATTCCAGTCTGCAGTGGGCTGCAAGTTGTAAGGAGATTTAATTTTAGCCACCTTTCTCTTTCCTTTGTTCTCGTCATCAACCACTTTATTCCAGTCTTTAACAGAGATGATGCAAAACTTGGTTAGTCCTTGTAAGAAGAGGTGTGTGTTTGTTTACTCTTCCTTCTGTGTTGTGGTCCTTTGGGTCCCAAATCAAAGCCTAGGTCACCTTTACCATGTCCCGCTATGCCGCTTCGAAATCCAATTTTTGTCTATCAAAAGTCTGCTTCACTACTCACCTAGGCATTATAAATAGGCAAATACCTCAAGGGTAAAATCCTTGGTTTACCTCTGAGAGTGTCCTTTCTCTTCTGAATCTTGACACCACAACTCCTCATTCCCTGTTAGCTATTTGGAGTCAGAATACATATTTTTAGGGGCGCCGGGGTGGCTCAGTGGGTTAGGCCGCTGCCTTCGGCTCAGGTCATGATCTCAGAGTCTGGGATCGAGCCCCGCGTCAGGCTCTCTGCTCAGCGGGGAGCCTGCTTCCTGCTCTCTCTCTGCCTGCCTCTCTGCCTGCTTGTGATCTCTCTGTCAAATGGATAAATAAAATCTTTAAAAAAAAAAAAAAAAGAATACATATTTTTTAAAAAAATTGTTTTGTCCAGTATTTTTAGTTGTTCTCAATAGGAGATCTGGATCAAACCATCAAGACTGCCATTGCAGGAAGTCTCTAGGCATTAAACTTTGACATTATACTGTTTTTATAAAGTATAAAGATAAATTATGCTTACTGTAAAAATTTTAAAATACAAATATAAAATTTAATACAGTAACTTCTCTCTCCTTACCATGTTTCCTCCTTCTCTTTCCAATCCTTGGACTCCTGCAAAGAAAACCACTCTAGTCAACTTGATGTACGCCCTCTCACTCTTTTCTCTATAGATTTAAAGAAATATGTTTGCAGATACATTTAAAAAAACATTTAAGTGGGCTCATCCTACATTTTTATTCTTCCTAATTTCTCTCTTACAGAATAATCTAAACGTTTTAGTTAGCTCAATGATTAATAACAAGAGTTAACATTTTTCAAGTGCTTATCTGTGATAAGTAATGCTTTCACACAGTAATAGGTTATTTCTTTTGCTTTTTACAACAACCTTGTGAAGTCAGTATTTTTATCCTCCTTTTACAGGTCAGGAAAGTAGGTTTTAGGGAAATGAAATATACCTACCCAAAGCTACACTGTTAAGTTGGGCTTTTTAAAAAATGTATTTGATTAAATTAATATCATCTTAATTCCTGTCATTAGCAGAAAATAAAAATTTTCTTTCACAAGGCAGAAAATGAAAAAAAAATTTTTTTTGAAAATTATTTCTTTCCTTGACTTAAAACGACGTAAGATATGTGAGAGAGCGAAATGAAATTTATAATTTGGAGCTAAAGTGAAGAGGTTGAAATTTAACTTACCACTGGTGCTCTGACAGTTTGCAAAAACCGAAATATCTTCGGATTTCTCTCCATGAAGCCCTAGTCTTGGGTGTCATTTTTAAAACCGGAGTGATTTGACACCATCCCAAGGGCAACACCGTAGTGGGAGAACTGGGAAGTGTGCACTAAGCACTAATGGTAGCAGAGGAACTCTGCCATCTCACAGGCACAGCCATGCCCAGGCAGGCGGAACAAAGACTTTTCAGTGGCATCGAGGCGGGTGGACGCCAGGACTGCCAGAGGGCATCTCGCGGTATGAGTGCGAGCACTTCCGGGAGGCAGCGCGAGGCTCTGGGCAAGCACTTCCGGGTGGCACGTGGCAACCGGCGAGACGCGCGTTTCTCCAGAGGTAGCGTCGTTGGCGACGCAGGAATTGGCGTCGGCCTGTGCCATGGCATCTCGGTATGACCGGGCAATCACTGTCTTCTCCCCAGATGGACATCTTTTCCAAGTGGAATATGCCCAGGAAGCAGTGAAAAAAGGATCCACAGCGGTGAGCGATCAGTTTCTCCACCATTGCTCCCGGCCGTGCCTTCCTCACCCCACTGCTCCAACCCAAGGTCCTGATGGAGGGGGGGGGGGTGTCAGAAAAGGAGAGTCTCCCACTTGTGAGAATCGATTCCTAATTTTTATCGAGGGAGATGCCCTTTCTGAAATTAGAAATTTGCCAATTCTGAAAAATTGGTAGATTTCATAGGTGTGCAGCTGCTTTTGAAAAACCATAGCTACAGACACAAAACTAGGGTGTGAGTGGAAGCCTTGATTTTAGAAGAGACATTAATGCTGTGTCTAACAATAAGGGAAGAAAAAACTTCATCCACTTAGTAACAGCCTTTCTGGATGCACATGATCTGCTTCCTCGGGAATCCACAGATGCATGGAAAAGTAACAGTTCCTTCATGTGGGTACTGTTGTTTAATGGTAATTACATTAAAAACAGGCCATGCCTGCCTCCTGAAATAGGGACAAATCAATGTAAAATTGAATCTGTTGGCGAAGAAATGATCAAAATCGCTAAGCCAGCTACCACACAGTTCCTCCTGTTGAAAGTAATTGTCCTAAGATTTTCAACCAAATATCTGGCAGCCTTTTAGAGCTCTAAGCCCCAAGAATCTGCGTTCTTTTGCCACATTTTTGTTTGTTTGTTGTTCAAATGATGCAGGAATTCTTTGAGAGATTGTACCCTACTTTACATTTAAGTATCCATATTTCTGAAAAAACTTAAATACTCAAGGTAGCAGTAATACTCCTGACAAGTTTTAATTACATTTAATAATCATGGTGATTTAGGGGCATCTGAGTGGCTCAGTGGGGTAAGCCTTTGCCTTCAGCTCAGGTCATGATCTCGGGGTCCTGGGATCAAGCCCCACATCCGGCTCTCTGCTCTGAGGGGGGCCTGCTTCCCACCCCCACCCCAGCCTGCCTCTGTGCCTACTTGTGATCTCTGTCTGTCAAATAAATAAATAAAATCTTTTTTAAAAAATCATGGTGACTTATAAAAATTAAAAAGGACAAAATTGCCATAGTGACCAAGGATCTATTATCCCACATCTTCTGAATCCTAACTTGTGAATTCAGAAGGATAAAATTTTTTTTTTTTTAGATTTTATTTATTTATTTGTCAGAGAGAGAGAGAGAGAGATAGCACGAGCACACAAGCAGAGGGAGCAGCAGCCAGAGGGAGAGCAGCCTCTCCACTGAGCAGGGAGCCAGATGCAGGGACCTGATCCCAGGACCCTAGAATCATGACCTGAGCAGAAGGCAGATGCTTAACTGACAGAGCCACCCAGGCATCCCTGAAGGATACAATTTTTTTAAATCTCTCGAATTTCATGAGCATGTTTGTTGTGTATTTTGGAAATTGAAACACCAGGTATGAGAATATACCGTGCGTTTCTGAGTCTAGCAGTGTCTCTATTTTCCTCACTTTCCATACCAACTTAATTATGGAAGGAAATAATTCACTTTTATTATAAATCTATCAAATGCAAAGTGGTAAAAAAAATAACACTAGAAAGAATCTTATCATTTTTAAACTATTTTTCTATTTAATTGGGCCCTCTAGTTTTGCTTCTGTTTTATAAGTAATTTTTTTTAGAATTGTAAATTTAAGAAAAGCCTGATGTAGCTTAAACCAAAAGGGTACCATTTTGATAAAAACAAAAAGTTATATAATCCCAGCAAGGCATGAAGCATATGGTTAGAAGATAATGCCCAAGTTTTAGAGCCTAAAATAAAGAAAGTAATGGGAGAAGACTGGGGTATAATAAGAAGCCACACTGGCTCATTTAAAATGTTTTAAGAATGCTATAGAACTGATTGATAGTTCCTTTGTAATGAGCTGTAAAAGGGTATGGATATAAAAATACCTATAGTGGGCATTTTTAAAGATACATTGGAAGGATGAGACAGTTTTTGTCTCAGGTTTCTGAAATTATAATTTGCATCTTTGTATGGAGTTGTTCATTGTGTTTCCTTGAGGGTGCTATGACCTTTTATGTGGGGTAAAGTTTATAATGGCACTTGTTTATTAAAATATGTTACAAAATATTCTGCCTATAAGCAACATTTGTTATGATGAATTGCAAATAACCAGTTCTGACCAGTGTGTGGATGCAATATTATTTAGTAATACAAGAAGTTATAGGGACCACAATTAGAGGCTTGGGTTCTACTTCCTTCTTGGTGATTATCTTATAGCATGAAGTGAGGCAAGAGGCCTCTTTACTTTTTGCTTTAGTTCCCTTTTCTGTAAATGAAAAATATGTTTTAATAACATTTTGGAGAGGTAATACCTTTCTTCTTAGGAAAAAAAAACAATGAATCCTTTACAGTTTTCCCATGAAAAAGGTAAGATTTATTACCATTACTCATTCTGTCCCTTCCCTGACCCCAAACTGTTACTGCCTCCCTCTTTCCTGCTTTTTCAAATCTTAGCTTCACGTTCTGGCCATCACTGTCTTCCATAATCCTTATCCACCCTCTTTAATTAAAGGGGCAGCTTCATGGTTTTACTCACATATGTTTGTGGGTAAAGGAGAAAACACCTTTATTTATGCCACAGTCCCTCTTTTGTATCCTCCGAGAATCTCTGCACATTTCTTCTCCTTGATGAAGCCTTCTGGATCTGCTCCAGCCATTTTGACTCTTATTCTTTTTCTGAACTTAAAATCTGTACCACATAGCATTTTAGAGTATCTACTATTTGGTTTCATATTCACTTTAATTTCAAGTATACTTAATAGTCTTCTCACAGCAACTGGATAGTAAGATCTTTAAGAATCTAGGTAGCATAGGAATGCCTGGGTGGCTTAGTCAGTTAAGTGTCTGCCTTCAACTGGGGTCTGGGATTGAGTATCATGTTGGGCTCTTTGCTCAGCGGGGAGCCTGCTACTCCCTCTAACTGCAGCTCCCCCTGCTTGTGCTGCCTCTCTCTCTCACTTTCTCTCTCTGACAAATAAATAAATTCTTTAAAAAAAAAAAAGCCCTAAAAATCAGGTAGCATAATTCCACTTGTATTTTTATCACACGATATACTACAGTGGAGGGGCAAAGTAAGAAGTAAACACTTAAGTAATATTTCTTTTGTACCAAGTATTTTAGTATGTTATGTAATGTTAAGGATAGTATTTTTTTTTAAGATTTATTTATTTATTTATTTGACAGAGAGATCACAAGCAGGCAGAGAGGCAGGCAGAGAGAGAGGAGGAAGCAGGCTCCCCTAGAGAGCAGAGAGCCCGATGCGGGGCTCGATCCCAGGACTCTGAGATCATGACCTGAGCCGAAGGCAGCGGCTTAACCCACTGAGCTACCCAGGCGCCCCAGGATAGTATTTAATCCCCTTTTTATATGTGTGGAAACTGATTCAGAAACTTTGGGTAACCAGCTAGAAAGTGATGGAGCCCATATTCACACTTAATTTTTTCTAGTTCCAAAGCCTCTGCTCTTTGCATTGTATCATGCAATTTAATATTTGTCTAATAATTAGCTATCATATCATGAATATGGAAGCCAGGTACATATCACACAGGCAATTAATTTCTGTCCTCCTGGACACAATGATGACCATGTGACTGAAATCTAGCCAGTGTAAGTCCATCCTTAGGACTTTTTATTTTATTTTTTTTATAAGATTTTTTATTTATTTATTTGACAGAGAGAGATCACAAGTAGAGAGGCAGGCAGAGAGAGAGAGAGAGAGAGAGAGAGAGAGGGAAGCAGGCTCCCTGCTGAGCAGAGAGCCCGATGCGGGACTCGATCCCAGGACCCTGAGATCATGACCTGAGCCGAAGGCAGCGGCCCAACCCACTGAGCCACCCAGGCGCCCCTCCTTAGGACCTTTTAAACTAGGGATAGTGGTAGCTTTTTTCCTCTGGGACAGCTGTTGGGATGTGTGTCCAAGATTGCCAGTGGCCATCTTTTTTTTTTTTTTTTCCTGTAACAGAGAAAGCTTCTCTTTATTAAGAGAGCAAAAGGCCAATATGCAAAGAGTAAATATTACAGTCCCTAAATCTTTCTGTTCCAAGTCCAGCTCTGTGCTGTCTCAGTTTGCTTAGTGAGAAATGCTCCTTATTAGTACAAGCTTTTAAGTAGAGGAATGCCACATTCAGATTTTCTTTTTTTTTTCATATTTTTATTTTTCAAGATTTCTCAGACTCCAGTGTGGTCAGTGGATTAGATAATATCAAGACTGGAAGTCGGGAAACCACATAGGAGTCTATGAAGCAATCCAGATGAAACATAATAGTTTTTACTATGGTTGGGACAGAAAGGAGAATAAGGCAGATTCCAGAAAAACTGTAATGGTATAGTTGAAACAATTTTCAACTATATAAATAAATAAAGCGGCAGGGGGTGGAGAGAGGAGAGTAGCAAGGAGTCAAAGATAGTACCTCTGCTTCTGGATTTAGCCTCTTAGTAAATGGCCCTGCCGCTTTTTTAGAACATATGAAGCTCTAAGTTTGACTGAAGGATTGAGGTTCAGACTTGTTGAGGTTGAGATGCTATGGAAACTATAGTAGGTAGCCTCTAAAATGACCTCCAATGATCTCCACTTTCTGGTGCTCATGCCTTTGTGTAATCCTCTCCCCCTTGTGTGTGGGCTGAATCTAGTTACTGGTTTCTAGGAATCCAGATAGGCAAAAGTGATGGGATGTCACTTCAGAGGTTAAGTTACAAAGAGATGGTGACTTATGTCTTGCTCATCCTCTTTGATTCTGACTTGCTTATTCTTATGGAACATAGCGGCCATTTTTAGTTGCACCATGGAGGGTCCTATGTAGCAAGGAACTGAGTCCCAGCAATGAGTGAGGAACTGAATCTAACAACCATGCAGGTGAGCTTGGAAATGGATCCTCCCTCATGAGCCTTGAGATGAGTGTAGCCCTGGAGGGCAATTTGATTGCAGGCCTGAGAGAGACCCTAAGCTAGAGGATAAACTGTCCATATTCTTGACCCACAGAGACTGTGACGCATGAGTATACATAAATATAC